ACTAGCTCTCCTCCTGTTGGTTAGCCATTAGCGGTGCTGCTAACGTTACTAGCTCTCCTCCTGTTGCTTTAAACACTGATTGGTTGTTTACAATGAAACATGATCAGAGATCAGAGACTAGGAACACATGTTCTACTGAGTCAGTACAACTTTGACACTGACGCGGATCAGTACGTTACACTACTACATGAAAGCTCTAATGTGTGACAGCAGCCTGTAGAGTTTGAATCATGCAGGTGTGCGTACCACCATTGTACCTGTCGTGATCGATGTGCTGGTTGGCGTCGTACATGCAGAAGGGCTTATCGATGGTGGTGCACTCGTTCATGAAGTCGATGGAGCCCCCGGTGTCAGCGGATATGTCACAGATGGCCAGCAGTCTGTAGATAGAGAGGAGAGGTCAGAGGTCACTGTCCCTCTGCAAACACCACTGAAGATACAGACGGGACTTCTGACCTCTGTGGAGATACAGCAGCTAATACACTGTACTGCTGTACATGCACTATACATACATACGTGTGTGTGTGTATATATATTTATACACACACCGCCCCCTGCACAAAGCCAGCTGCATGTGGACATTACTAATTATATTTGGTCGGTTAATAGTTACACGATGTTAGAACGTTTTTTTTGCAGTAGATACCGAGTTATCTCGCCAACATTATTTTTGCTCGTGGCATCAAATCAAATGAGAAGAGTCTAAACTGCACAAACACAGATGTGAACACGGCCGAGTTCACTCGGGGTAACACTAACACTAACCGGGGCGTCTGTGATCAGAGCGAACAGAGAGAGTGGAGAGGCCAGGACTCTTACTTGTGAGGCAGCCCCGGTGACCCCTCGGTGACTGAGGGGGAGGTCTTGGGTCGCATCAGCTTCTGGGCGTCCAGTCGCCTGAGGAGTCGAGGGGTTTGGGGGTCCCAGTAAATACCATTGATCAGACAGGTTGTGTAGGGCGCCACCTACGGGTAACAGGACACAACGTTAGTGATGAGTGAGACGCAGACCGTCGCAGAGGTGGACGACAGGAACTGATAACTGATTATTTAAATAATTATTTTTAAGCAAAAACATCTCAAAATGATATATTAGCAGATTTTACTTTTTTTATATATAATCTTAAATTCATTATCTTTGAGGCGGTTGGTCGGACAAAACGAGACATTTGAAGACATCGTTGTGGACTCTGAGTCATTGTAATTAACTATTTATAGACCAACTGATGTGAAGGATATTATTAGTATAGTATTGATCAGGTAGATGTACTGCTTCATTCTCTGTGATTAAAGTCACAGAAGTTGAAGCTGATCACAGCTTTGTGAGAACAACAGCTGTTTAGTGCTGATGACTGGAAATAGTCCTCTGAGGGGACAGACAGGAGCAGGTGGTGTGTTGTAACTGTGGTGGTGTTGTAACTGTGGTGGTGTTGTAACTGTGGTGGTGTTGTAACTGTGGTAGTGTTGTAACTGTGGTGGTGTTGTAACTGTGGTGGTGTTGTAACTGTGGTGGTGTTGTAACTGTGGTGGGATAGAAGCTGGGTGGCTCACGCTGGTCCTGAAGTGCGAGGTGTACAGCTCCGGGTGGACCTCGTACTCCATGGGGTCATAGAAGCCGTCACTCTTCCTCATCAGGTGGTGATGTCGGCTCAGAACGGTGGCGTACACTTTGGTCATATCTTACAGAGGAAACAACAACATACTGTAAATAAATAGTTGTATTAAACAACAACATTTGGCTTATTTCTGTATAATCATGTTTGAATTAAAAACGTGACAAATAAAAAGCACTTCATATTTACTCATTTAATTAAGAACTTTAGTGCAAAAAAACAAGAATTTCAGGTGAAATTATAGAGAAGAAATACATAAATATTGCTCTCTATACACCGACTGTGCTTACATGCATACAAACAAACACACAGAAACCAGGTTCAGACAATAGTTTGATTAACTACAAGAGATTTGAGTCAGTTATAATGTAATGTAGATTCACATTCATGCTGTGATAGTGGCCGGTATCACTGTCATGAGACAGGGAGTCTAGTATAGCGGCCTTGGGTTTCGGGTGAAGATAGAGGGGGGGTGTAGATAGAGGGGGGGTGACGCAGATAAACAAGGAGGGCAAGGTTTGTAACGCAAGGGAGCCGGTCGCTGTGACGACATCAGGAGAAGACGAGTGAGGGAGGAGACGGTGGTTAATCAACAAACCCTCCGTTAGGACTTGTCCGAGGTGCGCAGTGTACCCTGTCTAGGTTTCACTCTAGGTTCAGGACTAAACTGAGACTGGTTCAAGACCAGCTAGAGGTTCCTGCGTCCTTCATCCACCACTGCAGAGTCCAAGAGGAAATATTAATATGACTATATCATCACAGTCACATTAGTACGATAACACTGATACAGAAACCAGCACAGGGACGACTGACCTCCTGTTTCAGAGACGTCCTTCAACTCGTGAGGCTCAACGTATTCCACAGGAAGCTCGTTGAGGATGTCCTGGGCTCCCTGCAGGAACCACAGAGGAACATAAAACTCTCATTCACAAAACATCCGGAGTGGCATCCAGGTTTCTGTGAGAGTGTGTGTGTGTGTGTGTGTGTGTGTATGTTTCTAGTTGAGCCTGGCTGTACCTTGGAGACGTTGCCGGTGCCGGTGAAACAAAACGTCACGGGGCCGATGGATTTGGGCATGAGCCCCATGGAAATCACATACCCACAATCCCTCACTGCCTGGATGGCCTGGTTGACGTTGCGGTAGTTGTGAGCCATGCCGATGTGCTGTGACCGGCAGAGAGACAGGAAGTGACGGGATGAGAATCACGTGAAGGGAACAGGAAGCCGCTCTGACGTCTATAGTTCTGTCTGAAGCGCGTTCTCTTACCATGAAGGGAGTGTGGTGGCCGAGAGCCAGGAAGCGAAGCCCCAATCCGTGCAAGATGTTGATCATTCCTACAAGAACAAGACACAAACACAGATCAACTCTGAACGTAAAGCGGTTTCAGGGGCGTTATTTAAATATGATTATATAAATATCTAAATGAGACATGTAGAATAAAATGTTCTTGATGACACATCACTATTTTAAGCTCAGTTTCAGTTTCTGTTTCTGACGGAAGCGTTCGTCACATGTGATGTGTTCAAGGACCGTCTTTTCCAGCATCTGGCCGTGATAAACGGTGTAGTTTTGGAGTTTGTTTAATCCCGCCCGTGTGTTTTGTGGTTCAGAAAGATAAATATTATTTTGATATGAAGTATTTCCTTTCACCGTGGGCCTCGTCTATCAAGATGCTCCTGTTTTAAATGGTCACAGCTTCAGAAAGGTCTGTCAGACATCAGGGTAAAGAGGTGAACACACAGCGTTCACTTAAACTGATATTGATTCCTTCAGGTGTCTGAAGTACGTCCACAGCAGCACGTTGCTTTTCTCCCGTGCTGCTGCCAAACGTTTTTTATTTATTTATTCTTCATACCTGCGATTCCAGCCCAGTGACCAAACGCTACGATCCGGAAGCCGTTGGCATCGACCATCTTCTCGTAGTCGATCAGACGAACATCCTGAGGACACATTTCATCTTGTTAAAGTGAAAGTTAAACACACAGAAGCACAGCCACGGATTCTGCAGAAAATAAATCTGCTCTTTCACTCGTTTAGACGGATGACTGTTTGCACACCGCTAGTTAGCAGGTTTCCACTGAAAACGACCCTTTTGCTGCTTCCTGTGCGACTGCATGAACATTTACATCTTGAGGATTAAATCAATTAATCCGTTAGTTAAGGAGGTAATACAATGCGGACTGAGACTCTGACTGAAGTACTTATATTTATATATTTGCAGTATAATGATCTGTCTGTGTTGACATTCTCAGAAAAAGAAAAGCTTTATTAGTTTACATCTTGCGTCCATAAGAAGTGGACGTAGTCATCGTGATGTCACTCTTTGGTTTGTGGACGTTTTGAAGCCTTGAGTTCGGCGATTTTGCCATCGCCATCTTGGATTACGCCCAACGCCATCTTGTTTTTTTTTTGCAACCAGTGAACAGGAAGTGACCATATCTGGACTGAGGAGGAGTGATGTAGAGACGCTGTATACGTCTCTGGTAGAGACCTGTCAATCACTGTGTAGCCCCGCCCTATAGCATCCCCTGCTTTATGGTCTGTGTGACTCCAAATGGACCATAATGTACTAAATGAACATCATGCTGTATTGAAGAAGACTTGAAACTAGAGATTGAGACCATAAACTCATGTTTACAATGTTTACTGAGGTAATAAATCAAGAGAGAAGTAGAGTCATTTTCTCATAGACTTCACAGGCTTCATGATAGTCAATTGTAACATTTTGGTCACTCACCAGTGGATAACATCACACTGACTACGTCCACTTCTTTCAAACAGTCAGCGGTGCAACAGACACAGAAAAAATAAATCCTACGCTACATTTATATATTTAATAATGTATGACAGTTACATCTGTTCTAACAGTTAAAACACAGCAGTCCCAACATGATTAAACAGACCGTTATATTATGCGTGTACTGTATCGGGGTCGGGACCCCTGCAGGACTTTCTCTGGACCTTTTGAGCGCGCTCACCTTCTTCAGCAGGTTGTCCAGGAGCCCCATGTTGGCCTCCTGGGCCTTGATGGTGTGGGAGAAAAAAGCGTACGTCTTCCTGGGGAGGATCTTCTCCTCCGGCGGCCTCTTCACCCCGAGGATCAGAGAGGCCTCGGACAGGTCCTCCTGCAGGACGGCCCCCGCCCTCATGTAGTTCTGACCACACGGGACAGAAGGAGACGGCTGAGCAGGAAGCACTCGCACTGCTTTAACGTTTCTATTTGTATTTGGGTGAGATCTTGAATACAAGAACGTCAGGAGACACATCAAGAACTATTTCAATGAAATTAATTAATTAAATGAGAAATTTAAATTACAATAACTTTGACTATAAAGATAAATGTGCAAAATGAAGTCAGAAATGCACTAATGCAACTCTGACAGCCATGATATGTGTACGAATAATAAATACTACAATATGCATGTACATGCATTAAGCATATGGTGTTTATATATATATATATATATATATATATATATATATATATATATCACATATAATAATGTAATATGATAATATAATATTACACATAACCCCACGTATAATACATGTATTATTACAGTATAGTGTGTACAGTAATATTAATCATATATAATAGAAATTAAAGAATATGGCAACTGATATATATATATAATATAAATAATATCAAATACTATAACAAATTAATAATAATAAATACAAATATAATAATATATTTCTACTACTACTACTACTACTAATAATAAATATACTTCTACTTATGATAAAAATTGTAATAATTATAATAATAACAAATACAATCATAATAATTATAATAATAACAAATACAATCATAATAATTATTAATATTATAAAAATACAGTATTAATAATAATTGTTTTAATGATAATAACTAGTGGTAGTAATATAATAATGTATGAGTAAAATAAAGCAACGTGTAAGTGTTAGATGCGTACTACTACATACTACATATACTACTTCTTATACTACTACTTCCACAGCAACAGAAGCCTCCTAACCGCTCGACGTTGTCCGGGGCCTCACCTTCTCGTGGATGGCTCTGCGGTTGGACGGTTGGAGCAGGACCTTGACGCCGGCGGTGGTGAGCTCTTTGACGTGTTTCGGGGCCAGCGGCGCCCTCCTCTCCCAGGCGTTGACGTCCTCGCGCCGGATGGCCATGACGGCCTGGTGATGGTGATGGTCATAGCGCGTCTGGCCCGCGAGGCAGCTCCGCGTCCTCCGCCCTTGTCGGCTGAGGAGTCTGTACATGATGTCCCCGCCCACTGCTTTGAGACAAAGACACGGAGTCTCAAACCAGTACATCCAGTACATGCTGGTTCATGACTTACTTACAAGCAATTAAGCAATAAAGTTACTAATATCTTTGGAAATGTGCGCGTGTCTCTGTTGCTGCAGACGAGCGGTTGGTAGTGACTGACCAGAAAAACTGTGATGAGACAGAACTGCAGTAAAACTCCACAGTCTGGTCCCATTCAGACACAAGAGTGAGTAACTGTTTTTCAATGCCAGTAAATTGCTTACTATGGGAACGTTTAAGCTCAGCTAGGACTGGTACGAACAGGCGGCAACCTCCGGTTCTGCAGAATGAAGCCGATGCCTCATGTGTTACAGCTGCATTCTCTCTAGTGTCCACCAGGGGGCGACTCCTCTGGTTGTATAGAAGTCTATGAGAAAATGACTCTACTTCTCTCTTGATTTATTACCTCAGTAAACATTGTAAACATGAGTTTATGGTCTCAATCTCTAGTTTCAAGTCTTCTTCAATACAGCATGATGTTCATTTAGTACATTATGGTCCATTTAGAGTCAAACAGACCATAAAGCAGGGGATGCTTTCTGATCCTGAGACAAAGTTACCCATAGCTACATGAAAAACTTCATTCCTCCACCCCTCTCTGTCCAGTTTAAAACATATCTTTTGCTACTTTTAGACTAAGCGTCCACACTACTCGGCTACATGCCATCAATGGCACCTTTAAGCGTCTTGCAATACCCCTCAGGTGTATCTTGCACGTCCTTGAGGGGGTCCTGATCCCCATGTTGGGAACCCTTGAATCCAATGTAAGACTTTCCAACAAAACTGTTTGACATAAAGTGAATATTTAGTTGCACAGGCACATTTGCACACAGAAGTACTGCAGGAATCGATATGCAACAGTAACATGTAACCTGTTGAGTGCATTAAACCAACTTTAAACTAATGCAGAACTCACTGTGAAGTCAACACTGAAACCTGCAGACACGTGGTTTAAATCTGTAAAACATGTCCATGGAGTTTGGTGTAGCTCGTAGTCGTCTGTGTGGCTTTAACCTACACAACAACCACGTGGGTCAGTTAGGGTAACTACGGGCTCTGGTCAACACTCTCATACTTAACACACGTTAACGTAACTTATCGATTATTGATAACCGGCTGCACGTGACGCACCTGAACTCAACTTTCCTTAAGTTTCTGACCGGGTTTCTGTTCACCGCTCCGGCTTCCTGGCGAGGAAATGTTGCGACGGACGACACCGGAGAGTCACACAGAGGTGAGACGAGCTGCAACTTACCACGGAGGTGGTAGGGGGGTGGGGTTCACACGCGCGCAGAGTAAACTAATCCATTTCCGGTTAGAATTTCAAAATAAAACGGAAAATAAAAAAATACTATTTAAGATAAGATAAAATAGGATAATCCTTTATTAGTCCCCCAGTGGGGAAATTTACAAGATTACATCAGCATACAGTATAGTGCAAACAAGAGACAGTTAAAAAAACAAGCTAAAAACAAGTATTATACATCAGTAAATAAGTAATAAAACAGTAAAGAATACAAATCCACAATAACTAAAATATTATAGATACATATATATATAAATATATATATATAAATATATATATAAATATATAAATATAAATACATATATATAAATATATATATATATATATATATATAAATATAAATATATATATTATTCCAGCCAGATTCAGAATTCTATCTATCTTTATATCAATCTAAGATAGTGCTCAGTACAAGTTTCCCTTTTATTCTGAAGGCAATACCAACGGGTTTCCTGTTGCATGTGGGCAAGTGTTTATCTTCCCCCAGTAATGTCGAAGTGGGGATACACAAGAGAAAGGTAACTTTGTCTTAATGTACAGGACAGCCCGTGTGGGCGGCTTGTTTAGAGCAATATATCAAACGTGAAATATTTACAAATATGAAATAGAATACAACGTAAATACAACGTAGAGCTACAGGAAGTGGAGAACAGATCAGCTGGTGTTTCAGACGGTGCAGAGCGTCTATGAATCTCTACAGTACGGAAGCCTCTCCACCAATCAGCTGCCAGAGCGGAGGAGCGGCCTCCTGCTCAGCCTGTCGCACTGTGATGACGTAGAGGATTGCGAGTACACATTTAACCCCAATGGATTTATACGTGAATTGAAATTAAATGAAGACTTTTTTTTAATCCCAATTCAACTATTTTGAATTAGCATTATTATTTGTACAAATTAATTAATTTAAATGCATACCCTCTGTACCTTTATGTTGAGTGCATGTCAGCAATGTTTGATCATTTTAATGTGTATTTTAATAAAAACAAATACAAACTTAAGAAGAACTTTGAGGTACTTGTAGCACACTTCCTGAAGTATTTCCATTTTCTGCTACTTTCTACTTTTACTCCACTACAATTTAGAGGCAAATATTCCTACTTTTTAGAGTTATTTGATAACTTATATACTTCCCAAATTCAGATTATTAAGATATGAATCAACTATTATGATGTACTATTACAGATTAAACTACCCAGCAGTATATAAGGCCCGCCTTTACCTGCTGCAACATTAAACACATCAATGCATCATTAATTATAATCCATAAATATAATTTATTCTGAACTCTGCAGTTCTGCATAATGAATACTTAAGTTTTGATGCTACTTTTACAAGAAGCAAGTATTTCTACACCACTGTTGATTCATTCAACAGCTTTTTAACCACGTTAGATCCATAAATCAAACTCTCCTGAGCTAATTACACAGTAAATATAATGTAAACATTTGGACTTTTGAATAGTTCACACTTTTGACTTTGACAACGTTTCAACACGCTTATTAATATTTATTTATTTTGAATTAAAAAGTCATAAATTTGACTTATTTTTGCATGATTTGGTCATAAAAAATGAAAAGAAGACGACTTGTAACGACATAATGTTGACTTTAAAAGTCATTGTAATTACTAAATGTTGAAAAGTGCTGACTTGGCATCTCATAATGTTATGTTTATGACTTTTATGTTAGCAGGTATTTATATTTATTTCCTGACAGCTGAAGCCTACCGGCTTTACTGTGGCCGTGCTTTAAACCAGCTGGTACTTTATGAACTTTATACCCTGTTAGAAAAGACAAATGTTTGTTTCAAAGAAAATGTATATTTGTATATCTGTGTTTATGAAATATAACTTCTAAATGTATGTTTTACTGTTTCTGTGCTTCTCAGCAGAGACAAACATTAAACTAAGTTAAAATAGTTTAATATAGTTTATAATTTAATATTGTATGAATCCAATGCAGATCCCCAGCGTATGAACACAAAGTATACGTTTCCTTCTGTTTGGCTCATATTCAGTCAACATACCTCGTGTAATACTTAAAGTGGAATAAAATGTTTCCAAGAAGTGATCACAGATTAGATTCATTTATTATTATTTCCTTGTTAAGTGTCTGCAGCAGGAACAATAAAATAAAAACTAACCTTCACCGGGACAAGAAACGTTTTTTATAACAGCAGCACAATTTAAAATAAATATCATAAAACACTTTAGTTTTTGTTTTTTACAATAATCCTGAGATTGAAATCAAAAATAACAACAGACAGACCCGAGATGTAGAAGTGAAGAGTGAAGTCCAGAAGTTCTTTTTAGTTTCGTTTGGGGTTTAAATTAGTCAGTGTCTGTTCACATTGAAATCAACTGTTTGGGAATTATTGTCTTTTCTTTACAACCTGAAGGTCCAGGGATACTTCTGCTTTGTTGCAGCTCGGCTTACAGTGTTTCTTTGTAGTTCTGACCATCATTTCTAATAATAATAAAATTATAATATAGAAGAAACACAAGCAGTCAGACGGTCCGACAGACGTAGCACAAGAGAAGGATTCAATCAAATGTTTGAGGAACAGCAGTTTGATCCGAGCTGTTGGATGAATGCTGTGACTTGATGCGTTTCTCTATATTCTTCTTTTTTGTGCACAAATCCCAGGAAAGACGCAAACCAACAACGCGTTAGTCCGTCTGTCGACACTTCTTCTGACTTCCTGTCTGTGTCTCTCAGTCATCTCCTGGAACATCTGGTCCCTGAAGTTTTTATCAAACAAACGGGAGGAAATAGTGTTCTTGTTGGGGACTATTTTCAGCGGCGGATGAATCCACATTTGGTGCTCTAGAGTCTAGACGATACTTGTTCGTAGGATCAACTCATTGTTGGTTTTTGTCTTTTCGTGGGATTTGATGTCAGTAAGAAGAACACAGAACATTCGCAGGCTTTTGTTTTGAAATGTTGGTTTACATCCTGTTTTTGTGTTGTTCCACCTCATCTCTGGTCTCAGAGTTCATCAATCTCACATCCTGAGATGCAACTGAAAAATAATGAAAACTAGTAATCACTGATGACTAATGGCAAGATAATTAGCCACCATTGTAATATAATTGGCTAATGATCAGAGGACGGGAAAAGTTCAGTGTGTCCTCGCTGAAGCGTCCTCAGTTCGAGCTCAGAGAGTCAGAAGCGAGTCGGGAGGTTTTTCAGTTTCCAGGCCGGCGTCGGGGGCCAGAGGGGTCAGGTCCTATCAGGTCTGAGGGGGCCCCAGTGCGGGGCCTGCAGGGGCTAGGACGTGTCCTGACGTGTCCTGATGGCTCTTGCGGGGTCAAGATCGAAAAGGGTCAAGTTTGGGGTCAACAGGCCTGAGAGGCGGGGCGGAGGAGTCGAGGACGGCGCAGCATCGGGACATTTGTACAAAAAGGAAACGTCTTTTACTCGCAGGAAGTTAAAGACGACAGACTTTGTGGAGCCAATCAGACGGACTGCTCACATTTAAGTCAGAGAGATATCGACCAAAACAAACAATAACCTCGTAAAACATATTTGACTTGAGCTGAATATGAAGAAATACTGTTTAACTTTGAACTTTAGAGGTTTTATGTTAAAAAAAAGTGTCATAAATACTGAGGAGGTCTCAGGTCGGAACGTTTCTTTTCTCCCGATTGTCTGCTTCCGTCTGGGATGGTTTAATCAAAACACACCGTCCAGATGCATTGTGGGAAATGTAGGCTCCCGTGTATTCCGAGCTTAAAGGAGGACATCTCTGCCTCTGCGGCTTTGATTTTGATGGTTTTTAACAAAAGATATTTTGTGTAAATAAACATCAGAATTCTTTAAGGTTTTGGAGAATTTCATGGCTGCACAAGAAAGAAGCAAGCGGCCGAATGACAGCCATCTACAGAGCAGGACTTTGTCACTGTCGGGCTCCAATTACCGATGAAAAGAAACACATTAAGTCGTTAGAGGATCCAGACGACTCATTTGGGGGAACAAAGCACACTCATTGTTCTTTTGAGGGCACAAGTTGCTAATTTATAAAGAAAGAAAAGGAGGGGGGGGGGCTCTATAGATGTGACATATTAGGACTTAAGTTTAGTGTCAGGCCTGATGGGGGATTATGTCGGGACGGAGGGCACAGAGTCTTTCGTTCAGGCCTGCGGGGCCGCCTGCTGGGCCGCCTGCTGGGCCACGAGGTCGTGCAGCTTCCTGATGTGTTTCTTCAGGTCAAAGTTCCTGCAGAAGCCCTTCCCACAGGTGGGGCAGGTGAAGGGCTTCTTGTCGTTGTGCGTGTGCATGTGGAAGGTGAGGTTGTACACCTGGTGGAAGGCCTTGTTGCAGATGGAGCACTTGAACTGCTTCTCCCCGCTGTGCGTCAGCTTGTGGTTCTTGTAGTTTCCTGCAAGAAAAGTCAGAGGACGAGTTCAGAATGAGGCATGAAAAACTACACGAAACACTTTGACCCACTTTGTTCAGTTTTATAGAGAAATATGAAATGATTTGTGTTCATAGAGTCTAAACCTTTTAGCTTCCGACCCTTTGAAGCTGATTCACGTCACAGAGAGCAGCTCAAACTAAAAGAAATGATTTGTTTCAATCTTTACTGTTTGATTGTTTTTAATTAGAAGGATATTTTTATTGCTTCCTATATTTTTGCAGTTTATTGTACTACATCTTATATGTCGTTTCTATATCTACTATTTATTTTCTTTCTCATGGAGCCTCCCAGCCCAAAGCATTTCACACGTTTGTACTTCCATAAATATAAAACACAACGCAGGAACAAAGAACGCAAACAGAACCGTGAACTTCAAAATGTATAGAATTTATAGAACTATACTTTTGGAATGATCAAAAATCAAACCTAAAGAAGTGTGTTTTTAGAAGACTCAGCAGGTTTAATGTGAGCGGGTTGAACAGGTTCCTGTTAATGATCTCATCAGCAGCTCCAGGATGGATCGGTGTAATAAACCAGAGACAGCGGGAG